ATTCAGATATTAGAAATAGAGATGATACATTCAGGAGGTAATTGATTGTGTGACCTTAACGTGAACGCTTAAGCAACTAGTCATTCCCCGTGTTCAAATCCCTCTATACGAGTTTATTTCCATTAGATTAATTTGGAATAAGTAAAACGAGCAATCACACTTCTATATCAAATACTATAGAATTAATTTACTTTTATCTACTTTTACTTACTTCTACCTTATACATGTAATTATTACCTTAGATGTATATGTCCGTGACACCTTGAGAGCCACTATGAAGAAATGAAATAAGAATTGAAGACTATACAAGGTTTCTAGGCTAATTGGATATTTTTGAATACCATGGTGAAGTCAAAAATGAAAAAAAAAAAAAAAAAAAAAAAAAAAAAAGATTAATTACTAGAAAATAGGAGGACCAACAGCTAATATAGTCCTTGTAGGAAGAGAAGTGCACAATTCCTATATGGGTTGTAGCACCTTAGATATAGGTAGGAAGATAAGACCAAGGCATCAAGGCCTCTTTGGACGACCAATATACACTACTTGTGAGCCTTGGTGAGGCTCGAGGTCCTGATTTCTTAAGCAAGTTATCCTTGAGGTAAAAATTATTCACTTAATTTTTCTATTATTTATATTTTATCTTTAATCTATTATAATTTATTCATAGTAACTTGAAATTAAATGAATTTTATGCCATTCAAAGATAAAAAAAAAATATCTATCTAAAAATATATTTTTTACTTTTTTATTTTTATTTTTTTTGAATAAAAATCCACTGAACAAATTGAGAATAGTTTTGTAGTGTAAAATTACTTGATTGTACTTGTTTTACTTGTCTTGTGTTGTTGTTCTTTTGTTCTTGTTTATTGCTACTTCTACTTCACACCACCAATTACAAGTAACTCTTAATTGAAGCCATCTTGTAATTTGAAATGAGAGAGAAATTTACCTTCACATGTAGATTATTATTTTGTACTAATTCATTGTTGTTTGAAATTTTACTAAAATTAAAAATTATTTTCTGCTATTTTAAGACCAATCATAGTAAATCTTATATCTTTAAATATTACATAGATGCTCTTGACATTATACAAAATGATTCAAACTTCTTTTCTTATAATTCTTTTTAAAGATGAATAGAAATTTTTAAAAAATCTTTTATAAACTTTCAAAAACTTGTATATTATAAAAAAATTTCTTATTTAAGATACCTAATTTAGAAGATGAATCTTGTGTAGCTAATTTTGATTACAAGAAAAAGAATTATGTATTGGACTAGCTCAAGCAATATAGTGGGATGTTTAAGATATTTACTTATTCTTGACTATTGATTGTTGATAAAATTTAATATTTGAGCTTAAGAGGGAGGTTAAAGCATGGACATTGTAACATTGTAAGTGGATTTTAGTTGAAACATGATTTAGCAAGTTTGAACGTAGAGCATTGACTTTGAAGCAACATGAGTAAAATTGACTCACAGATGGTGTTTAGAGGAAGTTATGTAGAAGAATTATAAATGATGGAAGATAATAATAAGATGGCAATTTGCCAAATTTAAGATGAGTCGACAAAAGAGATTGATTGCAAATATCAAAAGACAAGCATTTTTAGAAGTTGTTGATACCTCAATATGATCTACAAGCTTTTAGTATAGTGGTATGATTTTGGCTTTTGGTATAAGATGTTGTGAGTTCAATTCTTAAAATACCATACAAAAATAATGTACATATGTATTTAATATTTAATTTATTATAAAATATAATAAGAAGTATTTTTTTAAAATTTTAGTTGATTATAAAATATAATTAGATTACTATTTTAAATTAATTTATTTAAAAGGACTATTATTAAAATTGATTTTATGGTAATAATAGTTTTTATATATTTAGAGCTACCTTTTTTAGATATTGATGACTATTAAAATTATTTTTTGTTTCTTTTATTTGATGTTTAGTGTACATACTATGTAAAATATTTTAGAAAAAAGATTAAAGAATAATTTTTATATAAAAAAAAATAGTTATGCCAATGACATGAATCAATGGAGATGGAAGATGAAAATTTCCATTCCTATTAGCCAAAATTAATGCACAATGGACTTCAAGGAAGTTGTTCAAGGCCTTATTAGAAATTAGGGTTATTTTGTTTTATTAGCATTCAAACATCAAAGATTAAGATCATCAAATTTTGGATTTAGGATATGATTTTGGTGAACATTTTTTGTGATTTGGAATTTTTATGAAGGAGATATAAGTGCTCAAAGTCAAGATATTGATTTTGTACCTACTATCACTCTTTAGGGCACAGCTTAGGCATATGAAGGGCTTTGGAGGATCGGATTAGGCAATTGGATTGTTGATTGAAGCAAAAATTTGAAATTATATTGAAAGATTTCGAGTTGATTTGGATGAGTAATAATTGCTTTAAAATAGTGCTTTGAAATTGTGGTTTGTCAGAGAACCAATTTCATGAGGGATTTGGATCTAACCATATCTTGGGCCTTCAGACAAATCTTTGGCTAAAATTTTATGCGAATGTGTATTATTATGTTATTAAGCTATATATTAAATTTTGTGGCATTTGAATTTTGGGTTTTTGAGATATGAAGAAAATAGTAATCAAGTGCTTCTAAATTAGGATTTAGAGCATATACTAGGATTTCTAAGATGTCAAACAATTTATAAGAAATTTATGGTTAATTTTTTTTGTGGTAAAGCGTAAGGATAAAGAAAATATTATTTGGAAATTTGAAAAAAATTAAAAAATTTAATCAAGAAATATAAAATTCTAAAGTTCGAGGAGAAAAAATCTTTTACAAGAAAAAAATATATTAAAAGGAATTTCCTACAATTTTAGCTTTTTATGCAAAGTAAGGAGGTTTTTGAGAGCCAAGACTTTATATTTATGTTAAAGATAGAGATATGGAGCTATAAAAAAATCATGATGTAAATATGAGTTTTTAAAAGAAGTTTATGAATTTTCTTTGGAATTATTGAAAATCTAACTTACTGGCAAATGGTTAGTTATGATTTGGTATAGTAAAGGATGTTAGGAAATTTCTTGATAATTTAGAGATCCTTATATATAAAATTCATTAAATATTAAAGATTTTATTAGTAGAATATCTTTTAATATTATTATATTTATTTATCTTCTATAATAAGAATAAATCACTTATTAGAGCTTGGCTAATAAGTTAAAGCTAAACTTCCTATAACTAGGTACCTAATATATCTTCAAATAGAAAATCATGCTATACAACATTATAACATGTTACTTTTTGTTTTCTAATTGATTTCTTATTTCAAAGGGGATTTTTCATGTGTACTTCACAAAATCATGTAATAAGAACATAGCTATTGTTTTTTTTCTTTTTTCTTTTTTCTCCAATTTTATAAGACAATTATAGGATTTTGTGTTTGTACCTCATCTACAGTTTATTAATATAGTTCAGCTTATAAGATTTTTTTGTCAAGTTCTTTGGTTTATAGAATTTTTTTCGGTAGGATTTATAATTCATTCTTTTGAAAGATATATTCAATAAGATGTCATTTATCAAACTTAGTAATATATTTTTCATTCATTCCAAGATCAAGCACACACAACATCATTCATTCCAACTCTTCTAATGAATTTATACATATCCACAAAACTTCATGTTGTAAGGATATATTAAGTTCTTTCATAATATTGTTTTTTCTCCTAATAGTATTGTCTAAAGTCTTGTTATTATTCTAAATAGTATAAAATCTATAAAAGTTAAAGTACAAGAGTTAGAACAACTTCAATGTTTATTATTTAAAGGTGGACCAAGAGTTACATGGTGGGATGATATAAAAAAATTGCTAAATTTTTTCAACACACCAAATTATTCAAAGTAATTTGTGTATGATATTGTTCCATTTAGAGAATTGAATTCAACTTTTCAAGTTTTATCATGTTGCAAAGAACAAAATAGATTTAAATGAAAGAATTTTCAAGTATGAATGAAATATATATTGTACTTAATATTACACTTATATTGGTTGAGCACAAACTATATGCATTTTATGTGTAGAAACTTTATGTCATGGTTGTCTATAAATTATGCAAGTTTTTTGTATTAAATTATGATCTTTGTTTGATGCAAATATTATTATTTATTAACTTTAGACTAGAGATTTCATTAAGATATGTATTTTTTCATATATGTATGTATGTTTATATATGTATTTATACATATACTTTGATAGTTTTGGAAGTTGACACAAACATATGTATTATATATATTTTGTTTATTTTTATTTGTTTTTCAAATGATATTTTGAATGTAAAATTAGTTTGTATGATTAAAATTATGATTAGCCTAGCAATCTTAGTATGATCTTTATATGACTCATTGTATAAAATATATTATATGTTCATTTAAATTATCTTTTATGTCATGCCTTGAATTGCTTTAGGTGTTTCATTTTTAAAAAATCTATAATTTGTAAGTTTTGTTACAAAAAGATGTCTCTTAACAATTGTTTAAAATTGAAGTAAAATAAACTAATAATTCTTTAGTTTATTTTTTTAATACTTGGTTTGATTTATATTTTAATATACGTATTTTACTATATCATTCAATTTTTATATGGATATATTTATGTTTAATGATTATCTCTAAATGTTCAGATATCTTTTCTAATGTGTTCAAATAATAATACTAGAAGTTTATTCAATATCACAAACTTCAAATCATTTATTAAATAAATAAAAATCTATCATGTATTTTTTTATATATTTTTTTATAACAAATTTTACACTTTTTAGACATATTTTCAATTTTTTAATTCCATTATATTTGTTCTATCCAAAATCCACATTGGCAGTCTTTTTTAACCCCTGCGACTCTTTTGATAGAACAAGGATTGTGACCAAGGGTGGTAACCTTGTTTGAATACACGTTTGTTTTGTTTTTGTTTAATGTAGAAAAGTTCAAAATATGAAGACATTCATAAAACTTAAAAGAGTGCACATACATACACAAATATTTTTATCAAATTGAACAAATACGTTACATGCACAGAAGCTCCTGGTCTTTGCTTTTTCCGACTTTGACAGAAGAGTTCACAATACTCTCAGTCGTAGCACTTCAGCGAGACGAGAATCTTCTGAGATTTACAAGCTCACATTGAAAGCAGGCACATCATCGACGTCAGAACCAAGCTTCAATGGCACAGCTTCTATAGATTCTATAAACTCAGGTTAAATCTCAAGCTTCAATATTAGTTACCTGAACGCTGTCCCCTCAGTATAACATGGTTTTGATCATCACCTGCTGTCGACAGTAACGATGGATCCTGGACCCATGTGTGCACCTGTGAGCTGCAGCGCACCCTCGAAGAATCCACCCACGGGAGAGGGTTCTGCTAGAGGAGGAGCGAATTGCATCAGAATGTCACGCAACGTGACTACACTCATCCACTATGAAGCCACATCATCCACTATGAAGCCCCTGTCGCTGCGTGCTCTGAACAGCTTCTGCATTGCCTCCTTCATGGTGTCGCTGGAGCTGAAGGTAACAGGGTCCTGCATTGGGGGAGTCTTGACGTTGGCGAGGCTTAGTGCAGCAGCAGATATGGCAGCACCGAAGTCTTCTTGCAGGGGCGTTCCCTGGAGGTGGTCTCCGTCATCGTCCGCATGCTCTTTCAGGAAATCCTGGGCGAGCAGTTCACTGCCCATGACGTTCAGAGTTAGCAGTTCCATGAGTAAGTTCAGCTCACTGTTGCAGGAGAAAGTTCTAAGTTGGCGGTGTAAATGGTTTGGAGTTGAGGGAATGGACGGCATACTTGCGTTTAGAAAACACTTGTGCGTCTTCCAGTAGTATTAGCAAATCGCAGTAGCGGATGTTTCCAATGAGGCGTTTCGAAGGTCGGTCGAGGATGGGCACACCACTGATACGATACTTCCACATGGCATGCAGTGCTGTCACGAGGGTCTCGTCGCCGTGCACGAACACTAGTTGTTCTGCGTTGTACTCAGTTTCAAACCTGAACAGCAGAGCTTGATTAGGGTATTCTCTCCCAGAGTACTTGTCAGCTTGGTTTGAAGTAATGAAACTAGGTCTGGTGCTCTAACAAAGATACCAATCTCTTGGTTTGTGATGTCATACTGCGAGAAATTTCCACAAGATTCTCACCCAGCATTTCTGATTTCCTTCCCGGCAATTGTCTCAAACCAGGGCAATCCTTCACACTGTAGCAACAGGTGTAATGCAACGTTCTAATCACAACCAACAAAGATGTTAAAACCTTCTTGACTAAAAACATTAGACAAAGCTTAACCAATCGAACTCCATTATAACAATTACCGCTACCTATGCATTAAACACAAAATTAGGACAGTACCGTCCCTAAACAACAAATTTCTCGGAAAATCTATCGAGATTCAGTTTCAGATCTGGGTGAATTCAGAAGTTAAATAATTTAATTCCTGGGTCTACTTTCAAGTTCAAGACAAGAGATCAGTATAATACCTGAGTGATGAAGGCTCTCACACACTTGGAAGACTCAGCATCTACAACTGGAACAGCTTTCAACCGATGTTTGGAGAGGATTAGCAAGACATGAAGAAGTGTATCTTCCGGGCGGACTGGAAAGAAGGGACCCCACCGAAACGAGCTTGCCATGGTACTAACCTGTACAGCATGCAATAGTTTTTACACAGACAAGTTGGATATGGATCAGAATCAAAAGAAAATTTGAACCTCACTTGTGTAAGGCCTACTATCTGATATGAATTTGGACAAACCTAATGATTTTACACCTGTGTTGATTTCACATGGTCAAGTTTGTCCAAAAGGCCAAAGAAGTCTTCACGACTTTCCTTTGGTCCTTCCCTTTGGAAGTTGCTCTCAGGAGACTGGGTTGTTAACTTTGGTTCATGAATTAATCCGGCTTCTGCTTCTTCAAATCTCTTCACATCAAGTAAGAAGAAATTAAACTCTTGTCAAAAATATTGTACATCAAATAAAAATCTAAATAATTATTCAAAAAATCACAAAAATGAATTCCAAAAAATTAAACCAATAAAACAATCAAACCATCAACCAAGGACATTTGAAAGACAACCCAAATGCCAGAGGAACTAGAAAAAATCACAATAAACGTTGACACCACAATTCTGACAGCCGAAGGAATATGCAAACATCTATGCAACCTCAAGAGAGAAGATGAGCTGTTGACGAAATGGAGAAACCACAGAGGTTAGAAGGTGAGGGAAAATACCTCGAGAGCCCATAGTACAAGACTAGCAAAATCGAGAAGGCCTACGTATTGATCCGTCAATGGCAAACTACCAGTTTGGTGAGGATCTCGAACTGGCGCACCCATCACCTTCTGGATAAATAATTTCTCGATGGCAGCACCAATAGTGTCGGTCATACTCAATTCCACCACTGAGGAGACGAAGAAACTGTCTTATCAGTGCATACAAAGCTGATTCACCTAGTTTTCTGATTGCTGGCATACAAGAGGCCACATAGAAAGTGAACGCTAAACCCTAAAACCATTGCTTATTCTGCAATTGAATCTGTCCTCAATGCGAGGAGCAGAGTGGAGGATGATCGCAGGTCACCTTCGGCATTGCTAATTCCTGGGGCAGAGAATAAAGAAACATGATTAAAGAATTGTTTAAGTGCCTCCGTGGGTTGCAGACCTCCACCCTTGATCTCCTCACCATCGGGTGCTTGAAGATTCTTATTCTCCTCCTCGATATTGTTCATCACCAATTCCTTCTTCTCAAGGACTGTGCGCTCAGTAGCTGACACCAATCTCTCCAGTTCAGGTTTGCTCGCCATAGGCCCACAAACCTCCTCCGGGCACCAGAGACTGTTGGTGCAAATGTATAATAATTTGGTTACTAGTCAGATGCGACAAGCCAATTTCAAAACAAGAAACGAACGGTTGTGTGCGGTTGAGCGATCAAAAACAATTACAGCAAACGAGCGAAAACCACCAGCGTGAAATTGTTCACTGTAGCGCAAACCTCAAAAGGAGCAGACACAAAGAAAATCTTACTTTGGGAAGATTCATCATGACAGATAAAGAAACACTATTACCCGATTGACCGAGAAACATTACGAGCGAAATGGTCGATGGTAAAAACAGCAGCCCACACATTTCTGCAGAACATCTTGTTGCTATAAATTTCGAACATTCACCTGGAAGTAAACGTTGATCCGAGATATCTTGTAAGAAATTCGAGTTGTGAACTTATGCTCAGCTCTCTCACGAACTAACTAGACCAGACACTTATAGCGCGATTCGCAATCTTTCAGACAAATTAAGGTGCCGGTAAGCTCACATACAAGTGAACTGGTTCCGACAGCGAGCATGTCATTCCCTAACAGCAGCGCAAGGTACTGACAATTGTCAAGAATGGCGGCGATTCCGAAGCAGGGGGTGCCTTGGTTTGTGCTTGTCAGATGAACAGACTTGAGGAAGCCGTAAAAGCACAGGTGTTCCAACGTGACACGTACTTCGTCAGAATATGGTATCATTTCGGTACAATACGTATATAGTAATTCGCAGATGTGGAACAGTGTCGTATTTTGCTGTCAAGAGCAAGTTTTACCAATGTCGCGTTATTAAAGACATTGAACACCAATTTGTATAATTTTCAGTGTGGTACTCTTCAAAAGCTCAAGTCGTATGTGGTTGTGACGGGGTGCGAGACTGTTGTCAAGAGCATTTATTCCATACCAGTCTAAGTCGGAGAGCCTACTCAAATTCATATTCATGCACTGTACTGGACTAAAAACGATGTTGAAATAAGGCGGCAATTCAACCAATACAAACATGAAACTCATTGCTTAGGGTGACAATGTAATTTGTACTAAGAGCACCAGAAAATGCCAGAAGTGCACAGACCCTCCTTAGCGGAGATTAATGAGATAAGAGTGCACTAAGCACTGGGCTCTGAATTTCTATTGAGCAAAAAACTCTACGTCCACCGAGTCGGCCAGAACGCATGGATCCAGTAACCTGTTTTCCAGTTATCAAGAGCTATAACCTTCCTCACAGCCATAAAACTAATGGTAATGACGGTGATCATCAAGAGCCGTTGCAAAATTTTGGAACGAATCAGTGGAGCAAGGTGGGTCACGAAACCTATCAACAATCCCACCAATGTGTACAGAAAGCCCACAACAAACCCCTCGGCTCCAAGTTGCACCCCAGAGCCCTGATAGAAGAACACTAGCTTGTCAGGGTTAGCGCGGTCCTGCATGAAGAGAGGCATTTTGCGGATGATGTTGTGCATGCCACCAGAGACACTGAAGAAGTAGATCAGCAAAGCGCCCCCACACCAAACCCTAGGCTCCCGTAATGGGGAATCAGGAGCAGCCATTATCTTCACAGCAAAGGGAGTAGCAAGCAGCACCAAGATCGCGAGGGCCCAGGTTTGGCGCTTTGAAAGAGGAGGAGGCCGCGCGATGGGACCACATTGCTGGTTAGTTTTGGCCATGACGAAGGATGCGATACCTTCTGCAGTGCGAGGATACTCGCCATGGTTCATCTCCTCGCTCGCCTTCTGGTCCCCGCTCCCCGACGCCACTGACCTAACATGGGGCAGCGATTGCACCCCAAACATCTGAAACACACCCTGCATATGCTTGAATTCCAGGTCACAGAAAAACACTTTCCCCTCCGCCTCCGTCCCTTTGTTGTGATTCGCATACGCCGTGGCGACCAACCCAAATTCCTTTCTAAACTCCACCAACTTAAGCTCCGTGTTAGCGTGCAATTGGCTGGCGTCGAAAAACAGGATCAGCGAGTACGGGCGCGGTCCGGAGGTCGTCGACATAAACCGGCGGAAGTTGTTATCGTCCAACCGAATAACGCCATCCTTCGACTGCGATCGCATGTACAACAGATCTGCGACACGGTCCTCGTTCGACTCCGCTCCCGCTGCTGCAACCAACACCACCGCGAACACACACAACGCCGCTCGAAGACCGACACCCGAGCTCCAATCTCTGTTCAACTGCCCCATCACCACCAACCCTAATCTCGATCCGCTACACGAATCCAACAGCAATGGCCCTCAAGGTGCAACGAGGGTTTCACAAAACACGACTTCCAGGCGGTTGACTCGCAGCGCGAATCTTCACCATCCAGCCCTGTGGTGGTGGTGATGGTGGCGGAGTTCACCAGTGCGCTTGTGCTGAGGAATCGCTACGTCCGTGTAGCCATGTCGTGGTGCGTGCGAGAATTCGCTGCGTCTGGATTATCGGTGACGACGGTAAATTGTTGCCCACTGTATTTGCGCAACGACGACGACGACGATATATACTTATAAGTATTTGTTTGGTAATATTGTATCTTTGGGTGTATTTATTCAACTCAATGGGTTGCTCCTTTGACAAGTAAGCTACCGTGAGGTTTTCAGAGCTACTGTTGCTTATTTTATAACCTTGGTACATTTAATTGGTTTTTTTAAAGCTTTGGTCATAGGATTGGAGACTGACTACACACTTCCTATTACATTGTAAAGTCTAAAAGAAATTTTGTATTTAAAATATTAAATTAAAGTATTTTAAATAGGTGTGGGTTTTTACTAAATTGACTTGCCCATGATGAAGAATATGGTAATCAAGATGAATATGGTTGGTTTTCATTGATTTTGGATCTAGTAGTGGAAAAATGAATATAGAGGTCTTTTTTTTTTCATGTTGGTTAGGATGGGTGGATCAATTTAGTATAAACCTTGGTCTATTTAACATATCCCTAAAATATTGTGGTTGCAGAGTTTTGTGTAAATTCTCACTAATAAATATCCAAGATCTATAAACTACACTTGCAATGATTTTTTTGAAGACATAATTTATTATTTAAGGTAATGCTTCAATCATAGTAAATACAAGTTTCTTGTCATTGCCTGAATATTTTTGGTTTCCGTTTTTGAAATCTAAATGCACTTTGCAATCTTAAAATTCTTGTTTTCTATTTTCATCAAATTTAGCATCTTGTGCTAAAATCTTGTATTGTAAAGACATAATTGTACGATTTATTATATGAAATTAAAATAATAGCATTTGCAATTAAATAATTTTGCATTTGGTGCCAAAATCAATAGCATAATTTAGTTTTTTAAAATAAGTAACTTTAGCATCAATTTTTCTTTCTTGTTTATTTTTTTCCTCACAATAAAATTTATGAAAATACTAGATATTTCGACCTAATAACTAAATTAAATTAAATTAAATGATAATTGACTATTAATTATATCAATTATTATAGCTAGGATGCATATAAAGACACAAAACAATTGACTACTTGCAAGACAAAATTTTGAGGTTCTCCTTATAGTGTAAATCATACATGGTTTAAAATTTGGCATCACACAAGTATATATATATATATTAACTTTTATACAAAAACAAGGTATACTTGGTGCATTAATGGTATCATATTAACATTATTATAATTTTGTTTCCTAAGTGAAGCAAACACTCCCAAGGCTTGTAGATGCATCTCTATATACATATCATGAAACCTCCATTCTTCTCTTATCAACAAAACCTGGTTTAAGATGCTGATTAGTGGCATTTCACTTACGACGGGGTTAACATACCCATGTGACGCAAGCTGAGAACTGAATTGCTCTCGATCTAAAAAGCACCAGGAATTCAGATATCATTCCAACATATTCTATAACAAACTGCACTCCATACTTGTGCACATTCATAGCTAATTCTCATGTTTAGTTTGTAGGAATCCTGCAGTGAAGCAGATCGGTGCAAATTCTGCCGTTTCTGATCCACCGACGTTGAGCTGCAGCTAGCTTCTGGTCAGATGCTGACTTCTCAGCACAGTGAGGAAGTCTCTTCAACCAAACTAGTATCAAGTAAGCATGGTCAGTAGATCCTGGAAACAAGTTGCAGACAGAAGTTGATGGATTGCAAAAAAAGGTGGTGTTATAAAACACCGAATTGGCCATTTACGGGAAGAATCGATAGTGCTCTTCTAACTCTTGCATTGTTTGCTTTTCTTGCATCGTTTGCTTCGTCTGTGTCTGCGGTGCCCTTTTCTGCCGCTCTTGGTTCGTTTGCTTCGTCTTCGTCTGTGTCTTCTGCGCTTACCACCTTTGCGTTTGTGACGAACCTTGAGAGACTTGGAAGATTTGCGGCGTCGTCGCCGACTAGGCACTGCGATCTCTGCCGGGCCTTTTGACGCTTGTGCCGTTGGGACGCCGAGTTTGTACACTGCACCCTTCTTTTCTACAGATCCCGATTGAACCATGCTTTTCAGCGCAGAGCTCAACAGCTTTCTTTTGTTGGCATCCAATTTTGCGGCGTAGTTCGACTCGAGGTGTTTGCGAAGCTGCGCGAAGCTGGCTCCGTTTCGCTTCTTGAGATGGACCATGGCATCCCTGATCAAGGACTTACTCGCTGAGGTTGCCATGGTGTTCTTCATGGCAACGATATAAGAGAATTCTGATGTGATGAACCCAATGACAAATCTTGTGTTGGTGTAGTGGGCACTGGAACAAGCCAATTTATACTAGCGGATTTGACCAGCCATAGGGAAGTCCTATTCGTCAGACAAACGGCACGGAGGGGATTTCCCTCCAATGGACTCCGTTTAACTGGCTTCGAATCGTTGCGATGTTTAGGAACTAATGAGGTACCACTGGCGCCGGTTGAACCGCAAACTCGTGAGCTAGAATATACGCGGCTTGTCGTATCCTAAAGCTGAAGTGCCCAATTTTATCGAACAGCCATGTTCATTTCAAAGGGCGTGACCGCTTGGTATACTCCAAATTTCTATGGAATTTGGACTTTGTCAAAGTGTCCATAGGTGTACAGTTTGTCGGCAGCGCAGTGATCCAATTGGGAGGTCATACATCCGCTAATTCTCGTCAAACCACACAATAATTCAACAACTTCATGCCTTTTGATTTCCTGATATATATTATTGTTCCAGACTAATCCTAGGATGCTTGCCTTGTTACAGTCGCTGTCTGGAACGGTTACAAGATTTCCAGGATGAAAATCATTAGTATGTGTTGTTGAGAATTTAGTGAGGCGAAGTGCTACATAGTGAGTTTTCCTAACAATACTGTGGAGCTACTGAAATCATATCGCTCCCTCTAAGACAATCTCCTAGGATCGATCTAACATGCTTGCTAGCTGTCGTCTCTGCTTTGAACTGCTCTGGAAGCGAAACTAAACCCAACTTACCCAGCCTCTGAGCAACCTCATGCACTCACAGCGACGACACCTCCACCATCTTCACAAGTTTGTCACGAACAAAATCCCCCTACCAAGTTGGGGTCCGCCATAACATCTAACTGACGCTTCAACCTCCTGAATTCTGCATCCTGCTCATCACCAAGTTCACGGTTCATGAGTCACAATGAATGATTGAGCAACCTTAATTTCAACACAAAATTTCAAGTCCCTGACGAAGTGAAGAATCGATGGCGACGGGCAACATAACGACGCATGGCGGTGGAAGTTTAGGATTATCCTCTTCACCTAATCAGAAAGCAATTTCACGACGTTCCTCAACAAGATAGATAGATAAACTATGTGTTCTAGTGTGTCCAACTACGCGAAGCTTCGGGCATGCACATCATGCTTCATGTTGAACATGCTTGTCATGTTACATCGGACAGAAACGACGAAATGAAACGCCGCAGCAGTGGACACAAGAGCTTGCGGTTCTCCAATGATCACATCGAATGCGTGAGGGAATTTAGAGATTCCAGCGTCTCGTCTTGAGCTCTGAATCTGTGGGTTAACTGCCTCGGGATCATGAGTCCCGTGTGCAGATCTGTTTCTAGGGGAAGTTTACTATAGTTGCGACAACTGAGCTTCGCTTTTTGTGACTGGAGAAACGCCGCGAACGCGCGGCTGCGGTCTGTGCGGCACGGTCGACAATCAATAGGGAATACGGCCACAATTAGTTCCCTCTAAGGCAACAATGTAAATAGTTTGATATAAATCATTTTTCTGTATCGAAATTTTACACTGATTTCACTCAATTTTTATTTGATCCTACTTATTTTACGTAGTAATTATTCCAAAATGTGATAAATGGTGAACAAATTTGATTGCGCAGTAATATGATGGAAAAATTAAGGTTAAGAGTATAAATTGTAAAACAAAAGTATTTGAAAACAAAAAATTCTTGTGCTAAAAAGATATTAGATATTAAAGAAATACTTAGAACTTATGCCCTGTTGGTAATTAATTTCAAAAAATTAATTTATTAATAAATGAATATGATTGATGTTAATATAAGTAAAATATTAAATAACATGTCATCCAAAGTTAATGGTGTTGTACTATGTATTACCAAAGATATTTCCAAAACTTACATTTATATGATATTTTGATTTTCTAAAAAAAATTAAGTTTATATATATATATGTATATATATTTGAGCATACATATGTACAGATTATTATGCAATTCCATTCCAATTTCTAAAGGATCATTGGATAGAGTGGCTTGTATAAAAGTGTTACCAATGTTGACTTTTACAGTCATGTATTTTAATATGGTAGCTATATTTGTATAAGTAGCTTAAATTTTTTTGCTAACAAATAAAATATACTACACTACATTTAATAATTTGTGGTAATATTAGTAAATATGACTGTGTCTTAAGATGACATACTGTTTACACACACAGATTAGAGTGTGTGAAATTCTGCTGGAAATACTTTAAAAGCATACATTTTGAACAAGTTTTCAAATATTTGAATTAAATTAAATATGTAAGTTAATTATAAATAAATTTTTTATCAATTACTTGAATCCAGTAGAGTGATTTTTTGTCACAAAACTTCAAAATTTATAGAAATGACAAATAAATAAAAACAAGATTATCATATATATATATATATATATATATATATACTAAATCTTGACCAAAAAAACATAAATTTGATGTCATTATAATATATTTAAAAAATCTCCTACACTTAAATATAATATATATATATATATATATATGTATACATGGTGTATAAACTTTATATATGTTACTATAAATTTTGTATTTGTGTAATTTTTCAATATCATCAAGTCAATATTATCAAAAGTTGCATAAAATAAATTCTATGATATTATAACTCTCATATATATAAGAGTTATATATATATATATATATATATATATACATACATACTTCAAATAATTCTATTGAAATTGCATAAGTCTTGATTTAATATGAAATGTCTCATTAAAAATCTATATTTTAATTACAAAATTGCCTTCCCAAATTTTAATCATTACATAGATATTATTTATAACTAAATGAGATTTAACTATATGTTGACTACATATATTAATGTTATTTCCTTATTAAATAAATAGAACATTTTTTCTACACTAACCTCTTTTTGCAGACAACGAACTCAATCAACCTCACAATAAGATTGAAACAAAAGAATATCCGATACATGCTTAACAAAAGAAGATAAGGATACTCTAATACAATATAACTTTTTTAAAGGAGTGTCAGTGAAAGAATCCTCCATGTGAAAACTTGAACATTGTATGAAGCTCCACCCTTTCACGACCAAAACAACAGGATATTTATTTTTCATTTTTAAAAAATAACACAAAAGCAACCAGTAAAAGTATGGAAATATGAAAATGTGAGCGAACTCGTAGCCCAGCATGGGCATTTGAAATACAGGGTCACAAGTGGAAGAGAAAAACACCAACACCGTGGCAGACATATGGACTGAATATCTGTCGGTGCCGTGTAAGGGCACTGAGATTATTAGTGTCTTTGTCCGGGTTCGATCTTAGGGCGGACCACCCATCACCAAATCCACCACATCAAAGCCCCCACGGATCGTCTCAGCACACGAGGCAGAGTATCGCGCCACGCCGCAACGGGTCCTGGTCGCGCGCCCAGTATCGCGCGTGGTCTGTTGCGCTTGCTTGAGAAGCTGCTGTTGTCTCGACGCGGGCAAGGTGTTTGCAATTTCGAGGAGCGCCGAGAAGGAGGAGGTGTGGCGTTCAGGGGATCCGTCGTCGTGGCTCCAGACGGCGCTGGCAGCGTGTGTGTGGCCGAATTGGTCGACAAAGGAGGAAGACTTGTTTTGCTGCGTTGAGATTCGTTTCCGTGGAAGAGGCGAAAAGGGATTTTGCGCGAGGGACGTGCTTATTGTGGCGATGGAGAAGGTGCTTAGGGTTTGGAGCTCTTGAGGTATGGGGAGAGAGGAGTTGTCGGAGGTTGTGGAGATGGTGTGATTATTGTAGGCAAGTTATTTGTAGAGAATCGGCGAGGTGGTGAAGGTTTTAGGAAGAGGAGGAGCGGGAGAGATGGACCGGGACAGGAGTAGGGTTTCATTTTCGTCGTCAACGACGGAGTCGGATTCTATTGCGGCACCGTTGATTCCGAATAGGAATGGTAGTTCGAGCAGCGGTAGCGGGAGCGAGGGCGGGTCACAGCGGGGCAGCCGGAGCAGGGTGCAGGGAGCAGCGCGGTTCTTACGACGAGCGGGTAGTCGACGGTTGATGAGAGAGCCGTCAATGCTGGTGCGCGAGTCAGCTGCGGAGCAGCTGGAGGTGCGGCAGAGTGACTGGGCTTATTCGAAGCCTGTGGTGGTGCTGGACTTAATTTGGAACTTGGCATTTGTTCTGTTGTCACTGGCAGTATTGGTGTTGAGCAGGAAGGAGAAGAATTGTACAGAGTTGCGGATTTGGATTGTAGGATACGCGTTGCAATGCGTGGTGCACATGCTTTGTGTTTGTTGTGAGTATCTTCGTCGGCAGCAGCAGCAGCAGCAGGCTAATGCGAATTCTTCGTTGAGGTCTACACCGAATACGTCTGCTTCTATCAACAATGGGGAAACCGATGTGAATTCAGGATTTGACGACGATGGAATTTACAATGATGCAAGTTGGGCCAAGCGCCTGGAGTCTGCGAACACGATGTTTTCATTTGTGTGGTGGATTGTTGGATTCTATTGGATCACCGCGGGAGGGCAATCGCTTGCAGTTGATGCTCCTCATGTCTACTGGTTGTGTGTAGTATTTCTCGCATTTGACGTGTTCTTCGTTGTGTTTTGCGTGGCACTAGCTTGTGTCATTGGGATAGCAGTTTGCTGCTGTCTTCCCTGCATCATTGCCATACTCTATGCGGTAGCAGACCAAGAAGGTGCATCCGAAGAAGACATCAACAATTTACCATCTGCCAAGTTTCGAAAAATCTACAGCGACGGAAAAGGAAAAGGTGATACTGAAAGGCCACTCGCGGGAGTGATGACATTTGTCGGCGCTTCCGCGAACCTTACGGAGCGCTCCTTGTTCGAGGACGATGCAGAATGTTGTATATGCCTTTCATCATACGAGGATGGCGTGGAGTTACGCCATTTACCATGCTCTCATCACTTCCACAGCACTTGTATCAGCAAGTGGCTCCGCATCAATGCCACTTGCCCTTTATGCAAATACAACATCGTACATGGCAACAGGAATCGGACTGAGTCAGTGTAGCGACAATGGACTCTATTTGCTGCATTGTGGTGGTCGTTGGAACGACGTTACAGATCCTCGTCCTCCATTGCAACAAAACTGTATGTGATCATGTGTAAATAGTAGATGCTATAGGAAATTATTACGCAGCACCTCACTGATGCTCTTCAATGGCACCGCTACAGGAAGAGTACTTTGGATGCGTGGGAAACTCATGCTTGGCTCCTGAATTGGGTCCTCATTTAGTTGCGTTTCGAACTAGAGAGATAGATTTTCCTTCAAGTGCAACCAGTGTCTGTGATCATAGTCATTGTGCTCCCAATTCAGTAAGACTCATACGACAAAATCACTCGACTCCTGTGGGTTTTATTTTTTGAAAGCCTTGGCTGAGGTTAGCTCAAGGAATAATCTGGACAGCAATGGCAGATTGTAGTGACTTCCTTTACTTCAAGTTGACATGGCTTAGTGTAAGCTGATATCGCTAGAGGTGTTGAGAAAATGCATGGTTTTCTTCCCAATCTAATCGTGGGGCGTCGATGAGTTTACACAGGTATGAATCATTTGCCAAAATGATAAATCAATCAATCAATAATTGGTTGTTATTTGTTGAGATAGATGTAATCTCTCCCTCGAGTATCTAAGTGTTGTCATCTATTTTGAAACATGGTCAAGGTTAGAGTTGGGAAATAAAGAAAGTTTTCAGGAATCAAAACTTGGGGAGATTTGCAGTGTACACACTGCCATTTACAGAGTTAAACCCCAGAGATCATAATTGATTATCCAAAAGAATTAGAAGATGGACAATCTTTAACTTGAACCAGAACTAAACTATATATCACAATGAATTTTTACACCAACATTCTATTTTTCATCCATGTGTCACATTCAGGCATGTTAAAAGAATGTAAGAGACTAAAATTGAATTTCGGAACTCAATAAAAATAGATATAAAAATAAAAAACTCAAGAATAAAGCAAAGTGACACTTGGTAATTAACGATTTTCAATTAATGCCACAGTAAACCTCAAACCTAAATCAGTGCTCACATTGAGATTATGTACATTTAAACAAACAAACAAACAAAGAGAGCAACCATTGTTTGAGTTCTGACCTCAATTTAAACAATGCCCAAACCACACGAGGTGCACCACCTCTGCAAAAAATAGTAAATTGAGTACATAAATAGGAAAGCCTAAAAATTGTGGTTCCGTAACCAGCAGGTCCCATAAGCATTAAATATTTATTTCCTTCTACAGGCTTCTACAGGCATTTTCAGTGCATAACTTTCCCACTTTTTCAGTGCATAACTTTTAAATTTGACTTTTCTCATACTTTATTCTTTCAGAGGCTACTTTACAGCACATTGTTCAAAAGGACTACATCAAAATTTGTGCTTACTTAGCTCAAAATTATCAAGTCTAATTTAGCTCATTTGTTCTCAAGCTCACTATATAATCTTTTGACTTTGTAGTAAATCTATATATACATATACATACATACTTTTTTGAGTATGTGAAACCTTTTTCAATTAGCATTTGAAAGTATCAAGGTGCATCAAAATTACAAATGTAGGCAATATATGTTTGAAAATTAGCATTTATTATTTTTATTTTTATATTAATAATGCATTTCTATAGTTACATAATTAACTTACCCAATATATACATACTTATACATGCATATAATGATTTTAAGCATCAAAATTTTTAAAAAAGCTAAAAAACTAATACCAAATTAATAATACAATTCACTTATTGGCACAATTAATTCAGTTGGGTTGAATATTTTGAATAATGTTATGTTCTTACTGTTCATGGTCTTCTACATGACACACCATTTTTATGTTATGTCATAACTTTAAATCCCATTTGCTTTCTTTCCCATGACACAAACTGTATTAGAAATTTCAAACGGTGAAATCTAACTTTTTAACTTTGTAATACAGTAGTTTTAGTCAATTGAAAAATATTAAATTAGTGAATAATCATGTGCAAAACAATTGAATGTTTTCAAAACCAAATGTTTTTAATATGATCTAGTTATTTTTACCCTTTTTTCCTAATTTAACATTAACTATTATTGTGATACTAGTTTATATGTGTTATGTGGACTAATATTCAATTGCTACTTATATTTATTTTACTACTTACACTTTGTAAGTAGTTAAAGTCTTTCAAATTTCCTATTTGTTTTCATCTAAAATGCTAATTATTTATTCAAATTTTTGTTGGAATATCAACAACATTGCACATAATTACATACATCATTAAATATATTGCTACATTGTAAAATAATAATAATAATAATGAAATAAAGTTCATTGCAAGGCATCTATGGTTATTATAGGTAATTGAAGTTGCTTCCAATTATATAATATCAATATCTTCTAAGAGTAATTTTAGCCATATCACTTTTGTTTTAGAATGATTTGCTACATATAATTTGTTCCCATGTTGGAACAAGCAATAATAAGTTGCATTTTGTAATTTCATAAGACTACTCCTAATTCGATTAAAAAAAAAATATGTATCTAATAAAAAAATCTTTTGTTGTTTGCATCTCTAGTCTATTCCACATTACAATAACCTTGCATATTAATGTGCTTATGACCAAGACACACTATGAAATCCAATATACTTTTGAACTAATTTTTATTTTTATTTTAATACTATCAAAAGCATAATACCAAACTTACTATATTTATAATATATACAATATTAATTCTTATATTAAGAATTAAAAATTAAAATAATTTTAAAACTTATATATATATATATATATATATATATATATATATATATATAATTTCTTCTTCATTGTAATTGAATTCTTTTTCAAACAACTTTATCAACTTCAAAATTTATGTTGATTAGGTTATAAAAGAATTTGGATTCTTCTAACTTGAAACCCTTGAATACTTCTTTAATATTCTTGCTTTGTTTTATTGAGATTGTAGATTTTGTACTATCTCTCATAAATTAAATCCAACAATAATATTACAACTTATGAAAGTTACTTATTCATACTCCTTAAATTTTGTCTTTATTGCTTTAATCTTTTCTATTTTTACTTGTTAAAATTATCAAATCATCAATATAAGGAATAAATACTAATAAAAAAATTCTTAAATACATCATATAAAATAAATAATCAGATTTATTCTAAATAAATTATTTTTAGATGAAAAAAAATGATTCAATACATGGATAGCTGTCATGGACATAATCATGTAAGCTAATAATTATATATACAAATAGATAGAAGTAAGTAAAAGTAGGTAAAAGTAAGTCAATTCTATAGTATTTAATATGGAAGCTTCCTAGAAGCTTTCTAGACGCTGCTTTGACTTCATAGGTATCTTTAATTGACTTTTTGGATTAGAAACGTGGTCAACAAGTTGGCCATGTGCCACACATGTTGTTAGCTTAAAGATCAAGCTAATTATGTGGCTGACACGTAGAAAAACTTGCCTTGTAAGTCAAAGCATGTGTCCTACAAAGTCAACACATATTGGAAGTCCTATAGAACGTCGCCACGTAGCCCGTAGTTAGATAGTATATATAGAGACAAGAGTGAAGGCTTCTTCACTCTTGTCAACTCTTTTCTTGCTTCTAGTCTAGTTTCAAGGGTGTCTAGTTTTCTTGTCTTTTGGCAATAGCCATTCTAGTTTCTTTTTCAATATATATACTTGTTTATATATATTTTGTTACATCTCTTTGAGTGAAGGCTCACTTGTCTGAATTGTTTTTTCATCGAGTTCTTGTCCTTGACAGATTGACAAGAATACACCTACAATATCAGAGCTTTGTCTAATCTTGATTAAGAGTGGATTCCCCCTTTTTCTTGATAAGATATAAGCATATTAGAAGCTGCGGATTACCTTCTTCTAAATTGATATTGTCCTTAGTATTTTCTTTGTTCTCAAGTCCTCTCTTCTATTTGTCTTGAGCGATATTAGACATCTTCTCTCTTCTAAGTGTTATCATGGCAGAACTTCTTGAAATGAAGACTGCAATGGCACAAATGCAAGAGCAATTGAGGGAGTTAATGCTTGCGATGCATCAACTCAATTTACCACCAGAAAGAGCAACAAGATTGGCAGGAAGTGAAGATATAGAAATGGTTAGAGCTGCTTCAACATCTGCACCAAACCATGTCCTTTTTCCTATGGTGGAACGTCCTTCAAATGTTAGAGAACCAAGAATCGCCATACCCGAGAAGTTTGATGGCACCACATCCAAGTTTCGAGGATTTGTCAATCAAGTGCAACTTGTGATTGAACTTCAACCCCAAAGCTATCCAACTCCAGGATTGTAAGTTAGATTCATTGGTACGCTTCTTTCAGGTTCAGCACTATCGTGGTTTTCATCTTTTCTTCAACGACGAGATCCAATATTGGATAATCTATAGGCTTTTTTGGCGGAGTTTCGATCGATGTATGGGAAACATGATGCAATTTGTGTTGCAACCAATAAGATCCATATTTTACGACAAGGCAATCGATCAGTAACGTTATACGCTTCACAATTTCGACAACTTGCAACTGATATCAAGTGGGATGATGCTGCATTTATTAGCCAATTTTTCTATGGATTACAATATGAGGTAAAAAAAATAATGCTCAACTTACTTGATCCTCAAACATTGAGTCAAGCAATTGACTTTGCTGTGAAGTGCGATAATCATCTTTTTGAATTCCGATCTGAGAACCGTACAAGTGGACCTCAACGTTACTATAATTCAATGGCAACACCAACACCTTTTCAACACATACATTCGGAAGTAGAGGATATGCAAATTGATGCAGTACGTTTCAAACCTCTTACTGAGCAAGAAAAGACTCGTCGTCGTCAAGAAGGATTATGTTTATATTGTGGAGAACCAAAGCACACTGCTCAGCATTATCCAAAGAAATGACACAATCACAAAATGAGGAGTATGGCTGTGAAAGAAGACAATATGTCGGAAAACGAGTTTGTCCAACTACAATAGGGACCGTGCGGCTTGAACCTTGCACAACATCTAGTAAAGGTCCTATTCTCTCCTTGAAGCCTTCTCCTTGTTTTACATTAAATATTATTTTAGGACCTAAACATTACAAAGTCTTTGCCTTGTTAGATTCAGGAGCCTCAGCATGTTTTTTAGATGAAGAATTTACTAAAAGACATAGCATATCTTTAGTAAAGAAAACTAAACCTGTTCATGTAGAAGTCATAGATGGTCGTCCATTGTCTTCTGGAGATATTACTCACAAAATCCTTCCTATAGAAGTAATAATCAATGGTCATAATAGTTTTGTAGTATTTAATATCATTAGATCTCCCTCTAATCCAGTTATTTTAGGTTTATCGTGGTTAGAAAAATACAACCCTCAAATAGATTAGATTTCCCGAACTCTTACTTTCTCTAAAAGTATAACTAACAGTGTAGTTAATCAAGTAGAGAGTCATAAGTCCAGTTCGATTAAACCCGTATTTATAGGTGCAAAAGCTTTCTTGCATGTTGCTATGAAAGAATCACCATATATTATTTATGCCACACCCGTTTCTACTGGTGAAAAGACTTCAAGTGGCATTCCAAGCCAATATCAAGAATTTCAAGATGTATTTG